ATTATTCGTTCCAAAATGTGGTATCGTAACTTCGATCCCAGTATGTATCGATCCAAGAATGATAACGTGGCGATTCGTAAACCAAAACGGGTGGTGCTATGTGCATGTGCTGAACATCCATGCCGGCTGGTATCCTGTGCAATGAGAAAAGGCTCAACAAATGCAGCAAACAAACAACGCTATGCATGCTGCGGACCAAAAGACGGCGCAGATGCCAAACACCAAGGAGTAAAAAGAGAACATGACCACCAGCAATGCTAAGACTGCGCCTGCCCGCAGGTAGCCATCCCAACAGAATGTTTCTGACAGGTTGGTGATACAAGATGCGAGAACAGGCTGCAGCTTCCCGAGACAGATTGAACGTGTACTAACGCAAACTTGAGCTAAATAAAGCAGACACTAAACGGACGTCGGCAACCGACGTGCCGCTGAAGGATGTTTCTTGGGTATGTTGCCATCCTGATGTTTTCGGCTGAACATCTCATCGATGAGGCGTTTGGGGCCAATGTATTCCAAGTTGGCCATTTTGAATGACGGATTTCTGAGAAGCGGGATGTGCATCTGTGTGCTCTGTTTGGAGTGGAAGCGTCGCTTGATGCAGTCGTCCACAAGAGCCATGAGACCTGTCGCCATAACAACACTGTTTATTGGGTTAACTGACAGTTACTTTGCACGGCTTGCGCCGTCGAATGGACTTACTCGGAAATGTCGGAGTCTGAGCGTAGGATCTTGTCGTCGGTGACACGCATATAACAAGGTGGTATCCAGCCACCACGTGCAGCCTCCTCGTGCGCCTCTTCGTGCGTCAAGCGTACGGGACAGATATGCGCAAGTGGCTCCTTGTCGTTGTCATCGCGGACGAGGTAGTAGGAGACAGATTCCTGCTGGTCCCGTCCTTCCTTCTTGACGATGCGTTTCCAGGAATAGTCGTGGCCCCAGTATTCAAAGGCGTACTTCTTGTATGACTTGGCACCGCGGCGCTTGACGTCGAGGTGTGCGTAATTCGAGAACTCGAGCTTGATGGTATTGGTTGGTATTAAGGCGCGGCCCTTGGAGTATCCCACCGCCTTGGGACGTGACTCGGAGCGTGTAATATCGTCGTCGTCGTCATGAAGACTGCCCTGCACGGAGTCATAGCCGGAGTCGGCCCGCTTCAGACCTGCTGATGTTGAGGGGCGAGAGTCGGACTTGACCAGACTAGCGAGGGCTGTGCTTGCGCGTTGCAGGACTGGCCGCATCTCTGTGGCTGGCTTCTGGTACTTGCGCGTCGAGTGGCAGACCTCGCGGCCGGACTCTCTGCAGTATCGGCGAAGCGAGAACTGGCGTGTGCGAAGGTCCTGCATGCGGAGATGGAAGAGAGTGTAGCTTTGTTTCCGGTGTCCTCGCTCCTCGACCTGTGTGTCCACTCTCAGGTTCATGTTGCCGTCTATGGTCGAGTCGTCGTGGCGTATGGATAGGCGCTTGGAGGTAGGGAAGAGCTCTCCAAAGTCGCGGGGTGTGGTAGGGATGGCATCGCAAGCTAGTGGCTCGTGTCGGTATGTGGGCACATCGTAGTCGGGCATGTCATCATCGAGCTCATCGGCGAGGTCTTCTTCTGATGTCGAGGCATATGTGTCGACGGAGGAGCGGGGCGGCAGCTGTGGATAGCGGTCGACCTTGTGTTGAGGCACAAAGTAGTCTCGTTCCCGGGCGCGTCCCTGTAGGCGGGCGTGGCTGGTCTCGCTGTGCATGAGCGACGGTCTGCGGTCGCTGTACTCTGTCGGCGCGGTGTCGTACGAACGGTCGCTGGCGTCGCTGCGAGCCGACACGGTGCTGTTGTCGCTGCGGCCAGAAGCGGTGCTGTTACTCGACTGGTGCTGCCGCCAGTGTGGGTTGGGCGCCATGATGTAACGTGATGTCTTGCAGTGATGGACAATGGGGTATTAATGATATGGGATGGATGGGGTATTGGCTGAACATGCAGAAGCCGATATGTGGGTGGGGATGGCACGACAATGCCATGCAAAGCAAACAAGCGTATAAGTAGAGCGTGAGGGTCAAGCGCACGAGTGAAGCAGGCGGCGCAGCGATCTGAGACAGCTCACGAAAGGGTGACCCGGCGCAGGGCGGAGACAAGGACCGACGGGGATTAATACACGCAGCGGATTTGGAGCAGCAGTGCAGCGCGAATCGAGGCGCAGCGCATGGCGTGGGAGAGACGAAATAGGCTGCCTGGACGCTGCAGTTGTCTCGCGGGGTTCTCGACGCTGGTTGATCCCGCGCAGAGTCCTCGATCACGGCCCACGGACATGGCTGCAACCCACAAAACGCCCTTGGCTTCATCCAGCAAATCGCCGGCACCGCTGGCCACCTGACTTGCCCGCATCGAGCGATGCAGACCTGGCTGGGCGAATCACTGCGAGCTGCTGACCCTCCCCCAGCACACACCGTTGCCTCGCCAAACGCTCACGGCAGCCTCCACGGCGTCACCAAACAGAGCCTTCCACCTGCTGCACTCTGTGCCATGCAGCGTAGTAATCCAGTGCTCACTCAGCGCGTGCGTGGAGAGGACGCAAATTTAGCCTCGCTCGACACCGCTTGATCGGCCGACCTGCCAGGCATCCCATGTTGGACAGGCTCACCCGATGCTGACCTTTGGTTCCTCGTCGGCACCGGGCGCCTACGGGACGCTCCCTGCTCCCTCCCTGGTGATCATCCCACGTGTATCGCGAGGCCGACGGACTTCTAGACGGCCTCCTAGACGGGCTCTCCCGGTCTTCGTCAGATGATAGTGGGAAGATTTTGCTGCCTATCCGACCCCAGCGACGTCATGTGCGCCAGCTAGTACCTAGGTCGCACGCTGCGCATCGGAACTGCACGTCCATGCGCATGCGACAGATGCCCATGTATCGTCGGGTCCTGTGCTGCAATGGCTGATTCACCCCTCCGTTGCGGGCTTACTACAAGGCTGCGCTGGCAAGGACCAGCCTCTACGCAGCCCGAGAGCTAGCCTTCTCCACCGTTTTCCCAGGGACCAGAATGCCCACGGCTGATGAGCACGATCACCGAAAAGATCACCCTGCGCGAAAGACGGTTGTTGGTTGTGACAGAAGCAAAGAGGAAGGAGCTAATAGTCCTGCACGCTAAGCTCCTCAACCTGGGCAATACCACCGAAACGTGTCATCGCTGCATATATTGCTGCCTACCGATAAGTATGTTTGCCCTCGACGTAGTAACGAAGGAAGGCTTTCTTGCGTCATGCTACATCTCCTGCTCCTGAGAGAAAAGAAATGCTTCACTGCGGATATTGTGCAGCCAATCAGAACGGGCTACGTGTTGAGCTCGCAAACCAGCCACGACAACAACAGCGCAGAGCCTTTCAATCGTCACAACCGATCAATCTGAAAACCCGTCATCCGATAGTAGTTGAGATGAAAGAGCTGAGCCCATCGAAAAGCCAGTGCTGTTTTCCCATGCGTTTCTTCCACGCCAATGGTTCTGCATATTCTTTCCCCACTTCGTCCATCCACTCATGTCTCCATTTTCGCTGGGAAGTCGGCTACGGCTGTCTATCAGTTGCATCCAAGGCTTCTAGACGTCGTCAGGTCCACTCCATGCAGATGCTGACCGAGGATCCGCCCGATGGTGCCATCAAGGAGGGCAGTGATTGCTGCATACTGACCAAACAGTTGGCGACGATTAGCCCGCAAATACCCTTTGGCTCGACCACTAAGCAGGCTTCCTTGTTACTCGATACGATGGACTCATAACCTTCCCCACACTTTGCCTCACAGGGCATTTGTACGTCAGTGAGGCGATGCCCTCACCACTTCCACGGCCTGTTGAACCGAGCTCTCTTGGACGCCTACCAAGCGAATGCTCGAGGCACCTACCATTCCTATGAGCAACTTGGAGGACTCTGGGCGAGGCTGTCAGCTGCGAAAGCGTAGCTTCAGCTCAGCCTCAACAGGCTCTCTGTGGTGCTGCCCCTAGGTTCGTCGAGTAGTTAATGGATGTCTACAGATAAGGCAACATACTACAGGCTTCAAAAGTAGCCTTACTTGCGTTAAAGCCTGCCCCTCATGTTTGCCTATATGCACGAGCGTTCAGTGCGTCGTGACTCTATGCCCCGCTAAGGCTTTCAACGAGATGCACTGATCAGCCGAACCACAATGCTGCATCCATGGGGCTAGCCTTGCTATCACGCCGAGAAGTTACTCCTGGTTGACCTTCATGATGAACACGCCTGATGATGTTGAAGAACTCGACAGCATGAACGAGCGCTCAACAAACGCGAGTCGCAATCTCCAGCTTCCTTCCTTTCATACACATGTTTCGTCTACCCGACTCTACACGTAGAAGACGAGCTCGTAATTTCCCGCGTGGTAAATGAATCAGCAATACTACTAATTGATGCTAAAGATAGCATGGCATGACACATGTACTCCATGTATGCACCCCTAATTAATGCTGACAGGCGTCTCGGACCTCGAGAGCAAGCTCATCTTGTATCCTGTCGCAGCAATTCTAAAAAATGCTGCCGTTACAATATTGCCCCAATCAACAATTTCCAGGTATCACTCCAATCACTTTTCCTCAGTTCGAGCATCTACCGCCATCACTGCGTCTAGATTAGTTATGAACCACGGGTGCAATGTCGTGATCTATGATTCACACATCGTGACTTTGATACTAGTTGCAGTGCAATGTATTCGGTATTGAGTTGGAACTTGGCGATCAACAAGCGCGAGCATATCTGAAAGTACTACGGCAAAGGATCACATGGTAAATCAAAACTGTTGGAAAGTGCACATTGATCATTGTCATTTCATAGTGGTAGATAGCACTACGACAGACCAAAGATGCTCACTGCGCTCCCTCTATCAAGCTTTGCTGTGGGTCGTGAATCATGGCGTCGTGAGCCCATCAATGCATGGTGGGCTTGAACGGTGGCCAGTCTCCTGCTGCCTCTGCCCACGCCCGTTTGCGCGTCTCTAATTTTCTCTCCGCCTCCAGTCGATCTACAACTGGCCGCAGTCCGCAATGGTGACGGTCTGCTTAGTGGAGCCGTTTTGGGAGCCGACCTTCTCGATGGCCTGGACGACCTCAAGACCCTCAACAACCTGGCCGAAGACGACGTGCTTCCCGTCCAACCAGGAGGTCTTGACGGTGCAGATGAAGAACTGGGAGCCGTTGGTTCCTGCGCGCTTAATCAGTTCTCGAACCTCAAGACACGGGGCAGTGTTCTGAGCGTACCAGGTCCGGCGTTAGCCATGGAGAGGATACCGGGGCCAGTGTGCCTCAGGTTGAAGTTCTCGTCCTCGAACTTCTCGCCGTAGATGCTACAGTGAAGATACGAAGTCAGTGTATGTCTCACATGCATTTTGTACGGCCAAAGCTTACCTCTCACCTCCGGTGCCCTGTGTTATGTCAGCCATGTGTGCTCGCCAGAAGAAAGGTCGTGGGTATGACGTACGTTGCCGCGGGTGAAGTCACCACCCTGGAGCATGAACTGGGGGATGACGCGGTGGAAGCTGGAGCCCTTGTAGTGGAGGGGCTTGCCGCTCTTTCCAGTGCCCTTCTCGCCGGTGCAGAGAGCGCGGAAGTTCTCAGCGGTCTGTTGGTTATAGTCAGCGACTGCCTCATCTTATCGGTGCCTCGCGGGGAAAGAGGCCTGACGAAGACTCTGCTAGCGGGGTACTCACCTTGGGGACCTGGTCGGCGAAGAGCTCCATGACGATCCTGCCAGCGGGCTGGCCACCAATGGTGGTGTCGAAGAAAACCTTGGGGTTGGACATGGTGATGGATTTGGGTTGAGTGTGTTGTGAAGAGGGTGTGGTGGTGGAGTGTTGTCGATGGGAAGGATGAGGGGCAGCTTTAAAAGATGAGAGAGGCCATGGAGGGGCATAGCTCTTTCCGTAGAGCACAGCACAAGGGTGGGGCCCGAGGCGTGATTGGGCCTCTCACCGTCGAGGCTGGACGTGCAAGGGCCGCTCGGGCCAGGCTTGGAGGGGTAATTGCGCCATGCCCTCCCCGCATGTCACTCAGGGCAGACGTAAGGGATCGTCGCCCGAGTACCATCGCCCGAAATTTTTGGCATCGCGATTGCAGCAAAGATTGCCTTGGTCCTTGGGCCGGATGGCTTCAGCCACGGGATTCCGTGGCGTCGCTCTGACAAGGCATCGCAGCACATTGCTGCTGAACGGACCACCGTAGCGCCATTCGACCGGCTCCTCATAGCGAATACGACCCTAAAGTATCCTGTGTAACGTCTGATACGGTCAGCATAAGAGTCACTGGCTGCCCTCACCCGTGATTGTGACTGTCCTAGGGTTTCTTTCCCAACGTCACTTCCTGGAGCCATCAAGGCGCACGAACCCGTATCAAGCGAAACACAGATGTGACAAATGGAATCAAATTATGGCTGGCCGGTGTGGCGACGGCCTTGTAACTACTGAAGAGAAGATAGAGAAGGTGAAGAACAGACAGCGCTCACGAACGCCGTGCCTCCCGGCTATGCTCTCGGATATACCCAACAAAGAAAAAGCTTCTCGTATCGCCGCCTATGGCTGCACCAACACGTTCATCTCAGCCGACTTCGCAAACTCGGCACGCTCCTGGATATCCTTCGCCTCAGCCTCCTTCCACAGCTGAATGACTTCCTGCTTGCGCGTTTCACTCCTGGGGTGGAACGCCATCTCCCATGGATCTGGCTTGATGATGAGTAAAGAGTTGGACTTGTTGACTGGCACTTCGATGTCCTTGCCGGTAACGGGGTCGACCTTTGCCCTGAGGTTGAAGGCCCACATCAGAGCTCCACAGCCTGTCACGGTCTCATCGCGGGTGATGGACATGCCGAGACATTGGCGTTGGCCCCAACCGAACGAGGTCATGCCAACGATGTCAGGGTACTTGGTCAAGGGCTCCTGGAATGTCGGCCATCCAGCCTCCAACCATCGCTCGGGGCGGAACTCCTCAGGCTCGGGGTACTTGGCGGGGTTTCGGAGGAAGGCCCAGTCGAGAGGAAGAATGCGCGTGCCCTTGGGAATGAAGTATCCCTGGAACCAGTCGTCGGCCTCAGCTTCATGAGCAACACCTGGGAAAAAGTTAGAATCAATACGGAAGATGGCTCCTTGTGTGCTTACCAGTAGGTACGGTAGGTTTCCAGCGCATTGTCTCCTTGATACACGCACGAAGAACTGGCAAATTGGGCAAGTCGGCGACGGCAGGAGGCTGGTTACCGCAGACGCGGTCAATCTCCTCTTGGCACTTGACCTGCCACTCGGGGTGGTGTAGCATGCTGATGAGGAAGTAGTAAATCGGTCCCGTGACTGTGAAGATACCGACAAGCGCCATCATACCGATCACGCAAGAAGCTTCGTATTCGCCCGAGATGTTTGACTTTTCCGCGGTCTCAAGATAGTTCTTGGTGAAGCAAGACCTTTGCTGACCGACTTCCATACTCTTCTTGGTTTTTTGAAGGCACTCCATGAAGAAAGCTTGTTGGTCGTCGTGGCGCTTGCGCTCCCGGAGCTTCCAGGGGTTGATCGGCTCGGGCACCCAGTCCCAGAGAGGAGTCAAGACGTTTGTGATTGGCCCGGCGGGTGACATCTGGGTGAGCAGACCCCATGCGCTGGGGGTAAGAGGAACACTGAGCGAAGGATCGTCCCATGTCAATTGGCACATGACCTTAGAGCACATGTCTTCGAGGGAAAAGCTGAAGTCGTCGGGGTTTTCCACGAGCCTGGCCATCCATCGCTTGGCCTCGAATTCCATGATACCATTATAGCGGACGTTTGTAGCTCCAGTGAGGTAAGAATGAGTGAACTTTCGCTGACGAGCCCAGTATTCTGTTTTGATTAGCAGAATTCGCCGCCCCCATCACTGCGAGACTTACGGTTCTTTCCCATGAGAGGCAGGTACTCCATCGAGCCGTATGTGCTCTTCGCATCGAACAGCGACTTGATCTCGGGTCGATCGGAATACAACTTCGCCTTCTTCACAAGCATATCCTCGGCAATCTTCTCATCGGTGATGATGATGAAGTTCGCGCCCAACATCTTGGTGCGGTATATGGGACCGTAAATGTCGGCCCACTCCTTGAACTTCAGCCACATGAATTCAATGGGTAGGTCGTGAATGCGTCCAACCCACGGTACCTGCCAGGGGCCAGGCATGTTCTGGACATTGTATCGCTTGTCGTACTTGGTGACGGCGTCGACGACTGCGTATACAACAAGGCCGACGACTGCGACGCCTAGGGCGTAGGCTGTGAAGGGATGCATTTCGAGTACGCAGGTGACGGTCGAAGGCGTCTGTAGAAAAGTCGGGACCGGAGGGGTTGACTGTCAACTGACTTGCCAAGAGTCTTGACGGGGATGTTGTCGGAGAGAACGGTAACAATCACAAGACCACAGCGTGGGAAGCCTGGTAAATATCACACCACAGGTTTTCGTTGCACTACCACTCGTCCGGCTCCCCAGAGCTTGACTTATGTACAGCCATACAGGGCCCACTGGCGAGGCGGGACCGTTTAGGGCACCAGATTCATCGGCGTCTAGGTGAGCATAGCCGACATGGAACTAAACATCGCTTGGGTGACAGACGGCAGATTCATCCAATGGCCAAGGTTGGAAACTACCGATTTCCATAGTGTGCCAGGATGGCGATCTCACTAACACCCTTGTTGATCTCAGTATCTGTATCCGCCACGGCGGAAGAACAGAAGTCGGTGCTAGCGGGCGCCGACTTACGACATATTGAAGAGCTTGGGGCTGGACTAACATGTATCGGTGCGCCGGGAGAGCACAGAGATCGACATGAACCAAGTTCACTTGCATGAACTCGGGCGTATCGAAACATTTACTCCCTGGTCTTGAGAACTGGACACAGCTGAAGGAGCAACTCCCTAGTGGCTGCGTCCGCGTCTGCCGCTTTCTCTAGGCAAGTAATTGTTATTTCCACATTACCAGGCCAAGCATCACCGACAGATAGCAAGATCAAAGTCGGCAGCCGGCACATTACCGGGCCGTAAGACCCCTCTACTAATCAACTTGTGCTGCATAGCTTGCAGCATGGGTATGCATCGCTGGCAGTATGGGTGTCACATTTGCTCCTCGTTCGTACTGCACGTTACTGGTCGAACGCCTCGGTGATGGGGTACAGACGCCACACTGCATTTCTGAAACCGAGCACCCTCAGTTGTCGTTGCACGGGAAGCGTTCCTTTGGTGGGCGGCCAAGTCCCCCGAAGAAAGGTGTCAAACACAGCCAGTCTAGAAGCGATCTTCTTCACTACCTCGAGCAAAGAAGTCTAAGCGTCATTAGAAGTGCTGGAATATATTTAGCGACGTTACACATCAATCGAATCTCAAGGGCTGCAGTCATCATGTGCCCACGTGGAGCAGCGAGATACAGCCGTGATCGAGCTGATAGGCTAGGAACGCCGCGGACCTGGCATCAGCGTGTATGTCCAGCATAAACGTTGAACTCGATCGTGTACAAAGATGACTTAGGATGCTGTTGGCCGTGCTTGGCCTCCGGAGTTTGTGGGGAACCATAGCGCGCTCGCACGGACGCACGCCAGCCGGGAGTTTGGGCTAGCGCGGGGGCTTGCCCATCGTCATCGAGATCGGTCCTCGACCAAAGCAGCCATGTTCCTGACAATCTGCCGCCAAGTGCAATGGTCATTGCATTGTCCAACACCTGCATGCCATAGTATGGCCGCGAAAGTACAACTGCGAAACAGCCCGGCCAGTCGGACGTCCGAGGGTCTTCGGCAAGCCTCACTGGTACCCCAACGGGGAATGCAGGTGGAGGCAACCTTCAGCATGTATGAAAGGCAGGCACGGCTTGTATGAAGGTCGGTTTCGACGATACAACCACCTCAATACGATCATACACACTGAACCGCAGTCATGCCTCACGCTCTTACTTCTCGCGACTCCACGATGGAGTCGAAGCCAATAGGGTCGTACCCTAACACTGGCATCGATGTCCTCATCGTGGGTACCGGTCTGGCTGGTCTGGTCGCTGCTCTTGAGTGCACACGCAAGGGCCACAACGTTCGCGTGCTTGAGAGGAATGCAGACATTAACACAGCTGGTGAGCGGCATTCTCAAATCATGGTCTTGACGAGCAACTCATAACGTGTGCTAGGTGACATGTACTTCATGGGCCTCAGCGCAACCCGCTTCTTGAAGCACTGGCCTGAATTGCTCAAGGAGTACAAGAAGATTTCGCTCCACAATGCCTGGATCGAGACCTTCAAGCACTCGGGCGAAGTTGTCATCGGACCTAAGAAGGTTGCAGATCGCCTTCGTGCACAAGGGCTGGACCCTGATACCCCTCCTGGCGAGTTCCAGATGCGCCCGCTTGTGTACAA